GACATAGACAATAGGGTGGTGAAGGCCTGGGGTGGAGGGTGGAGGGTAGAGGGTGGGGTGGGCTGGAGGGGGTCAATGGGGGGGAAAAGGGGACATATGTGTAAAAAAAAAAAGGAAAAATACCTAGGCTATAAAATACAGGATCTCTCCCCCCTCCCCCGACGCTCAGTTCTCACTACATGCTAGGCACTGTTCTGTTTGATGTTTTAACCCATTCAGCCCTTGCTAAGACCATGTAAGGAAGCTGCGATTATGGATGAGAAAATGGCATTGGCACTTTAAGTAATTTGCTCTGGGTCACCCATTATGAAGTATCAAAGCCTAGATTTGGACCCAAGCCTCCTGGAGGCAGAGACTGTGTCTTTTACCACACTGCCCTCTCCCCGGCCTCATGGAGGGCAAGACATAGACCCATCCCTAGTGGGCCCACCATATGCCTGGAAAGACCCCAAGATACATGTTTGAAATGACAGATTACAGTCTGTCATTTAGTCATAGGCTGCTGTTTGAAAGGACCTAGTAACTGACATCTCTGCTGTAGTTTGGAACCACTTGAAAAAGATTCAGGAGTCAGACAGCTAGACATCAATATATTCTCCTTATATGTGATGCTCATACATCCGAGGACATAATTTAGATCTGGACTGGACCAGGTAGGTTTCCTAATATTGGACCCTCTTATTAGGAAGATTCTTCCACTCACTCACGGGCAGGGCTGGAGAATTGCAGAGCTTTCCCCATGGGTCTGGCCCTCTCACTGGGGAGAATTGAGTGGGCAGAGCACGGCAAATTTTACTCTAATGAAGAGCTACTTACTCCTGGGCAATAGGCAACAGGCCTCTTTGGCATTTGGTGAAGACTATGGATCTGTTCTCAGAATAATCTTTTTGTGTGCATAAAATAAAATATACGGCATTACAAAGAAAGCCAATTAAACTAAAATATAACCCTGGAAGTCGAAATAAACAAATTTATGATAAACTAGGCGCCCAGCGCGCAATTCAAAATTGCCCGGCGCCGCCCACCCTCAAGTCGCCGTTCTGGCCCTGCCTCGCTCCCCGGGCCCCACAGCGGCCTCCCGCAGCGCATGCGCAAGGAGGCCCCTGCTGCCCCGCCCCCGACACTGAGCGCGCATCTTCCTCCTGTCCCGTGGACCCATTAATGTGTCAAGGTTAATTAGCATATTTCTCTATTTTATTTATTTAGATAGATAGATAGATAGATAGATAGATAGATAGATAGATAGGTAGATAATATATGTGCTTTTTGCTACTGTGTTAAATAATAAGACTTAGTGGCAGGGTTAATAACTATTATAAATTCAAAGTAGTGAAGAACGTGAATGATGTTTTGAGATATCTGCAACCAGGGAAATGTCTTGAAAACATCTGTGACTTCTATTTGATACAGATTCATAGACATTGCTACTATTACAGTGGTTGGTTATCCATATTCATATTTGCAGGAAATATTACATTTTAGTTAGAGGTCAGAGAAAATAAAGATATAAGGTTTTTTTCTTATTAAGTCCATGGGTCTCCTAAAAGCGACCATGGAACTCAGGTTAAGAGTACTTGCTCTAGCCTGGCCTGCATGGCTCAGTGGTTAGGTGTCAACCTATGAACCAGGGGTGTGGGGGAGTTGCAGTTTGATTCCCGGTTGGGGACACATGCCCAGGTTGTGGGCTCCAACTTTGGTGAGGGATGTACAGGA